TGTGTGTGTGTGTGTGTGTGTGTGTGTGTGTGTGTGTGTTTGTATTTGTTACATTTTAGGACAGTTTCTGGTATACACACCTGCCAAACACTGGTCCTAATATGTGGAACAAAATTTTTAGGTTGGAGGTTAAGTTTCGGACTAAGGTGTGAATTAAGTTTAGGTTAGATTTAGGTAAGTATTGTGTAGTTTAGTTTATTTCAAACATGTTTGGAAAACAAAACAGAAAAAACATAAATGATAACAAAATTAACAAGTAACAAGTACATAAGTAAGTCAGTACATTTAATTTATTTAGCACCTTTCACAAATAAAAATCTCAAAGTGCTTCACAGAAAAACAAAAAACAGATGAAACACAATGACACAAAATAAAGTACCATTTTAATCATTTAAAAGTTTTTCTGTACAAAAATGTCTTCAGCTGCTTTTCAACGGAGCCAATGAAACACAAGGACAGTAGGAGAGAGTTCCACAGTCTTGGAGCAACTGACTGAAACACCCAATATCCATGAGTTTTAGTGTCTGAAACTTCCAACATATTCCAAAATTTGATTTATCAGAAGAGCCTAAAAAGCTGACATGTTTTCTGATATCTGGGATAACGTTGTCTGGAGAAATTGTTAGAGTCTCAGTTTAGGGTTATACTGGTGGGGTTAGGTTTAGTGTAAGGGATCAGGGTTAGGCTATAGAAATGACCGGAAATGAATGGAAGTCAATTAAAGGTCCTTGAAATACAAATGTGTGTGGACATGTTTTTACTACATTTTGGAAACCATTTTCCAGAAAAACAGTCTTGTGCAAACCCATTGCACTTTGTGGGGACAAAAACCTTTTCCCTATGCGTACAAATGCAGATTTTGGGTGGGGGAGGTTGTGTTTAGGATCAAGATGTGAATTGAGTTTAGGCTAGATTTAGGGTCAGATACTGTATGTACTGCGATAGGTAGTTTTAGGGTAAAGGTTCACGATTAAAATATAGAAATGACTGGAAAATGAATGGAAGTCAATGAAACCTATCCCAGTATGTCCTGATGCATCTCAGTAATCCAGATAAAAAAATCAAAAAGAAAAAAAATTGTGTAGGTCTTCTGGACGGGTTCTTCTCTAAAGAAACGTTTCGTCTCTTCTCCAAGAGACTTCTTCAGTCTGAGAGTTTCA